ATGGCACGCGTGAGCCGGGTCGTTCAGAGCCCTGGCGCCCACCGACATGCCGATCGTAGTTCGCCGCGTTCTCATCTGCAGCAACGAGCGCATCTATGAAGGCATTACCGTCGCGCCCCCTGGTAGTCACCTCGTGACTGGAGCGGCGGCGACGGCGGACGCATTCCCTCGGCATCGTCGACCCCGAGCACCTCGGCTTGTTCTCGAAGTTCTCCTAGCCCAACGCGATCGCAACAAACTTAAAGCCCTGTGGTGTGGGACGAGCACCAGCGCCAGCAGCCGAAGCAGCGACCCGAACGTTCTCGTCGTCACTGGAGTGATCGACGGGCGCAGGCACACACGTGATCCCGTCGTCGCTGGAGCGATCGACGGCCGCAGGCGGCGCGGCGACAGCGATCGGCGCAGCGCGGCCGGCGGAGGCTGCGCAGCGCGGCTGGGCGCCAGCTGCTAGGTGCGAAATGTACAGCGGACGAATGGACTCCGCAACATGCTGCTCTGGGTTAAACTGATCAAGACGAATGATAGGAATTTCGGAGCGAGCGCGACGACACATTTCTACCTCGCCTTCCTGACTCAAGGGGGCCCGACCATCAGCAAGATCCTTCGCGAGACCGAGGGGGGGCCTGTGAAGGCGAGGACAACGCGAGAGACACATGATCAGAATCTTTCAACCGATGCGACTCGAGACGCCCACTCGCGGCGCCGCGAGAAACAACGGCACAAAACGGACAACTCTTCTCACCTGTCGCCTCGCCCCCTGCCTGTCCTCCTATACCGCTCCCCGCCCTAAGCTGCACGTGGACCCATTAAGGATAGATGCCTAAATTCTCACATGTATCCTCTGCGCTAGAGAGCCCAAGCTTTACCGCGACAACAGGAATTGCAACCCTCGTCTAGGAGGCCCAAAATACGTAGTCCTTGAAGACGTCAACCGAACGGAGCTTAGAAAAAGCCGAAACTTCAGTCGAGACGTTCTGCGTTGGAGCCATTAAACCACAAGACTGTGGTCTGTGACTTCTGCGACATAGTCGCGCAGCAAAGAAGTTAGTTCACCTGTGCTAATGTCACTCGTATCATCGCAAATCTCAACGGCACGTTTGGCGGCGGCCTCTAGTACAGACGTTAGCTCTATAGAGGCGATGCGGCGATCATCCCCGATGATATCCTGAATTGCGCATGCTTGGATATTGCTGGAGCATTCAGCTTTCTTAGCCGTTGCTTCGCTGTTTTCTGCTAGCTTCCCGGGCCGATCATCCACGCGCGTCAGGCAGCGACGACAACGCGCGCGGACAACACCTGGAGCGCTGCCGCGATTGTCCACGAGATTGCGCGGACACTCGCCCGGAGAGCGCAGCGCCGTGCACCTCTCCTTCTTGGTCTCGCGCCCACTGCCCTTGCGGGTGCGAACAACGAAACGAGCACAGAGACCGACCCCCGAGAGATTCTCACAACCTCGAGCACAAGGACGAGGCCACGGGGCATTTGGAGGTCTCCTGTTCGGGCCAGAAGAAGAACTCGAAGAAGGCAAAACTTTACCACTGGAAGCTGCTCGCCCCGAAACTCTCATAAGCTGTCCCTCTTCCATCCGGGTAAAATTGCCATCGGCTCGTCCTAGAGACAAAACCAGATCCTCACCTGGTTTCTTCACCTTGCGACCGCAAGCCCACGCAATCTGGGGCGCCCCCGAGAACGCGACAATAACTGAGCCCTTCGCGCTGGCCCGAGGCAAACGCCGCATCCAGACCTGGAACAGAGATAGGATCCGAAACAGACCCCCCCCCACCCACCCCCCGCTCAAACTCCCCATCAGAAACGCAAGCCATGGAATAAAATTCGGCCAAGCGAACAGCCATGGACCCAAGAGAGCCCCCCTCGACCCCTGCAGAGGTCTGAAGACCCCCCCCCCCCCCCCTGGAGCTCCGGAGGCCCCTGAACCGGAGCGGCTTCGGCCACCCCCGCGCAGCTCGCACGGGCGCGAAGCTCAGCGCGGTTGCGCTGCAAGCTGCGCCGCCCGTCGAAATCCCCCCCCCTCGCGCACGCGTGCCCCGCGACGCATGACGCGAGAAGATAAAGAAGAGCAGAAGCGAGAAAGACCAGGATCCATCCTCATCGATGCCTCTTTGCTCCTCATGATACGACGAGGGATTGATGGCGATGCAGCAACAGAACTGACGGATGCGAACGCTCGTTCGTCATCGTCCTAGCGCAACTGGGCATGGCGCCCGCCAGTGTCTCCAGCGCGCGCGACCATTGCCGTCGCGGGCTTGCCCTTGTTACATGTTCGTTCTGGGGACCTTCCCACAGCCAGTCGCCGCCCTCGTGCGTCGATGCTGTGTCGAACGTCCGTCGACGCTGCGTCGAAACCGAATCGGCGGCGCCCCACGAGCTCGGCGCGGGTAGGTCCTCGAACTTTCGAACGAGAGCTTTCCGCGCCCCTTCGCCCCCGACAGGTTGCGATGCCAGTCGCGCTCTGTCCTATATATTTGGCGGCGCGCCGAGGGGGTGGCGGGCGGGGATGGCCTTCTAAAAAGGCCAAAGACTTCATAAAAAGGCGCCGCCCCTCTCACAGATGTCCCGAAGCTTCTCAGAAGCCACCCTAAAACCCTGCCAGTTTCGAAGAAAACACCTGCCTTCGTAGATGCCCCCTGGCTTCTTAAACGGGCGCCCCCTTCACGCCACCCCCTGGCGCATTGTTGTTCAACGGTTTGGGGGGTTGCATACTTTGCGATATTTCCCGACGGCCCAAGACAGCCCCAGAGGCCATCCAGATCACCCCAAAAGCGCCCGAGAGGCCTCCAAGATGGCCCCAGGACGGCCCAAGAGCGGCCCCAAGAGAGCACCAAGAGAGCCCCAAGGCAGTCCCAGGCGGCCTCCGAGACTGCCAATATGGCCCCACTGAGGGGCCCAAGGCGCCTCCAAAACGCCCAGAATGCCCCCAAGAGAGACCGAGATAGCTCAAGACGCCTCCATGACGGCCCGAGGTGGACCCAAAACGGCCACAGACGCTCTCCAGGATAACCCCAATAAAGCGAAAACCAACAGTTATTTCATATGTGTTGAAAAATGTGGGCGCTTCCTCTTGCTCTGCCTTTCGACGGTCCCCTTCCTCTCCCAAGTGTTCCCCGGAGGGCTTCCACAACGGCCAGGGGAACACATAGCCCGATAGCTTGGCCGAACTCGGGCCGCAACGTTCGGCCACGCCGGTGCTTCTAGAAGGCAGGGGGCGACGGTAGTTCGCCGTAGTCGTCTTAGACGCAAGCTTGCCACGTCCCCAGAACAGATCTTGGCACGAAATGAATGTCGATACCATTGCCCCACCAAGGGGTTCCGAAGCAGCAAATACTCGAAGTCCTCATGGGGCTGCAGGCGTGGCAATTGTGTGTCTGCACTCAAGGCACGCCAGCGGCGTGATTAATGTAACCAAAGCAAACAGCACGTGACCGAGAAGATGGGAGCTCCCGCGCAATGAACGACCCAGGAAAGGCACTTTGGAGGTGCCTGCGGGCGCGTGGGCAAGGCACTTGCGCAGTGCCTGCGGGCTGCCCAGGAAAGGCACTGGGGAAGCGCCTGCGGCCAGCCCTGGAAAGGCATTTGCGAGGTGCCTGCGTGGCCGCGGCCGCGGCCGTGGCCGCGGCCGTGGCTGCGCGGCCACGCGCATGGGGCCAGCAGCTGGCTTTGGAAGGCTCTCCGCCCCCACGCCGAGCCATGGAAAGGCGCACGGGTGCATGACGTCCCGCCCGACGAACATCACGGTGAACGTTCCAACAACGCTGGCGTGAATCAGCAGGTCGGTAAATCAGAAGAGGATGTGTGTCGCGACCATCGACATCACCAACAAGAACGTCCACCTGTGCTACATCGCCTTTGACACGGGTCCAACCGAGCGAACCGAAGTGCTCGGCCCAGGATTGCCCTGGCCGGGACGGCGGTGGTTTAAGCACATTGGATACGGCATGTTGGCGGCCAATGTGTCCCCCAAAAAGAAGTTACCAACGTTATGCGGTGTAAGCTACGCTGTTTGAACTACATGGCGCAATCCACGTGGCGCAAGCTACGCTGTGCAAGCAACGCGGTGTAGATTGGCCGATCCAACTCATTTAGAATGCAAGCATTGTTTGGGGAATCTTCCTCGGCCCATCACTCATTCCGCCGCCGCACCGCGACGCCGAATGGGGCGCCCCTTGGCCCGTGAGGCCTCTGTCCTGCGGCATGCCCGAAATTATGGCCCCCAGGATGGTTCGTGCACCAGTTGACCCCAGGGTGCCCACCTTCCCTCATGCCCCGAGGATGGTGCAACGTCAAAGCTGCATTGCGAACGCGGACGAAACGGGGGGCGAACTAGCCCACCGACAGCCAAGTCCAACGCCAGCGGAGCGACCCCCAGAAAATTCTCGGCGGGGAGGGCAGCAGGCGCGGCTGCCAAAAACGGTGTCGGACCGCAGGCTGGAAATGATTTCAATTACTTCCGCCGCTTCCGGTTGATCGGAACACTGCTTTGCTTCCGCCGGCCGCCGCCTGAATTCATTCCGCCATCGCCCGCCGGACCCCGCCGGCCTCGGGTTTTTTTCTGCGGGGCAACCGCGCCAAGCACAGCTCAAGCCGAGATCCTTTGCGCCGCACATCCGCTGCGAATGCTGCCACGGGGCGCCCGCCCTCGAGGCCGCGGGACTGCTGGCGCGCCATAGGCGCCAGCGCTACCTCGCGCACCAGGGGCCAATGCGCAATCCTCTATTTTCGGCGGCGCGCCGACAAGGTAGGGGGAGGGGGGGGCTTCTGAAAAGGCAGAATGCTTCCTACAAGGCAGGAGGCCGGGGAGAATCCTCGGGACTCCCCGTCCACTCCGAAAGGCGGCTCCGCGCCGAACACCGCCGGCCTCGGAGGTTGCGTCGGCGAACGGTTCGGACGCGCCCGCCTCGGCAGCGCCGGCCCCGCCGCCTCCCGCTGCCGGGGGCTGGCCACCTTTTTCAGATTATTATCAAGCCTCGTCGTCGTCTTCTCTCCTTCCTCCCCTCCAGCATGAGGATGCTCGCCTGGCCCTGGCCCGGGATGAGCTTCACCACGCGCGCCTTCTTGTTCAGCCACAACAGAGGCTCCTTCGGGGACTTCGTGATCATCACGATGTCGCCCACAGCGATGACCTCCGGCTCCGTCTGGTGTTTCTTCGGGGCCCCGCCCCCGGTCGCGCCCGACTGGGGCGCACGCGCCTCAACTCGGCGGCGCGCGGAGGGGGTTGGGCCGAAGGGGGGGGGGCTTCTTAGAAGGCAGGGTGTTTCTGAGGAGCCCTAAGCACTCGAAGGGTTTCTAAGAAACACCGCGCCTTCTCAGAAGCCCCCCCCTTCCCCCGCCCCCCCCCAGCGCGCCGCCGATCAACGCCCGGGCCGCCCGTCGCCGGCGCCCCGTCTGGCTTCGCCGCCTCGGTCACCCCCTGCTTCGGCTCGCCCGCCGTCTCGTTGGCCAGCTCCTGCTGCGACTTCTTCTTGGCCTCCAGCTCCGCGACCACCCGGCGGTGACACCACATGAGCGCGTGGGCCGGCACGTCAGGCGTGACGAGCGGCACCGCGGAGCTCGCCATGGCGTGCACCTCCTGCAATATCTTCGACGGGATGCCCGTGTAATCCCGCGCATTGCTGGTGAAGCCAACAGCGCCGAGCCGGAGGGAGGCCACCTCCGCGAAGATGCTTGCCATGAACTTCGAGCGCTGCTCCTGGGATCGATCCCGGCCCTCGTGGTTGTCCAGGGACCCCATCCCTGGCTCCACCATGTCCTTGGGCCCCTTCGCTTGGAGCTCGTTCAGGCGGACGTTTCACCACGTGCCGATGTTGCGCCGTTTTAGCAGCAGCCCAACCACCTGGTCCGGGTCCCCGGGGAACCACGCCTCGAGCAAACTGAACTCGTCCAGGGCCATTTTCATGAGATGCGCCAGCCTGGGCCCGGGCGAATTCGTCATCATGGCCTTCGCGAACTCCAGCTCCTTCTTCTGCTGCTCGTCCGCCTGCGCGTTGCCGAGCAGCGAGATGATCAACTCCAGCCTGGCCCTGCTGTCCGCGTTGCCCGCCTGCAAAGCGGCCGAGCCGTCGCTCTCGCCGCCTGGCTGCTCGCCGCCTGTAGAGGCCTCCTAGATGGGGTCGGAGTAGGTGGGGTCGGAGGGCGGCGGCGCATCGACGACACATCGCCGACGCATCGGCGATGCATCGGCGATGCGTCGGCGATGCGCCAGCGATGCGTCGTCGACGTCAGCGATGAATCGGCGACGTCGACGCGAAGCACGTCGGGCTCCACATCGAGCCGCATCGGCGATGCATCGGCGATGCGGCGCGCTCCATCGACCCCGTCTACTCCGACCCCACCTAGGAGGCCTAGAGCCCGGTTGCTCGCCGCCTGGCTGCTCGCCGCCTGGCTGCTCGCCGCCGGGCTGCTCGCCGCCTGGCTGCTCGCCGCCTGGCTGCTCGCCGCCTGGCTGCTCGCCGCCTGGCTGCTCGCCGCCTGTCTGCTCGCCGCCGGGCTGCTCGCCGCCGGGCTGCTCGCCGTCGGGCTGCTCGCCGCCCAGCTGCTCGCCGCCTGCGTGGACGCCCGAAATGGGATACAATGCCCAACAACAAATGTTGTCCCAAACCAACAGCGGCCGCTGTTGGGCAGGCGGCCTTCTGTCTCGAAAGAACACAGGCCGCGGCGGCGTGGGCAGCGAGTCCTGTTCAAAATGAACCAAATCCGCTGTTGGGCATTGTGCCCATTCTTTCCGCGCCCATTTCCGCTCGTGCAGATCCTGGCTGCTCGCCGCCGGGCTGCTCCGCAGCCGGGCCCGGCGCCGCGCCGCGCCACGAGCTGGCTGTCTTCGCCAGGGCGAATTGCGCCTCGAACCGGGCCTTCCGGAAGCCAGCCAGGAATGGGCCCCCAGCAAGGGCAGAGATGTGCTTCGGCGGAAGGCCGTACTCCTCGAGCTCGCTCTCTGAGCCCGAAAACTGCCCCAGGAGGTGCACTTCGCCGATGCTGCAGATCGCCTGCGCAATCTTCGGGACCAGGGCGGGGTGCAGCTCCTTGGCCTCGCGGAAGAGCGGCGCGAAGTGGCCGATCACCTCGTGCGTCTTCCCCTTCAGGATCCAATCGGCGAGGCATTGAAAGAAATACCTAGACTCAACGGACAGCTCATCAGCAAACGATTTGTCCGAATCCCTCTTCATGTGCTCGGCCTTCTGTGTTTCCAGGTAACCAACGTACATCTTCGCCCGGAAATGGGCCGTGTCCGTCTCTCCTGGCACGTAGAAGCGGCCGGCCTCGCAAGCCTTCTGGCAGTCCAACCGGGGGGTCTTGATGGACACGTCGTCATTGTCCTCGCTGCTGACGTGCTCGGCCAGGAGTCTTCCTCCGCTTCCGCTCGGGCGCCGCCCCCGCCTCCCCCGACGCCATGCCCGACGAGGCCGCTGCCAGAGCCGCCGGGGCCGGTGCCATGCCCTGCGGGGCCGCCGCTAGGCCGGGCCCTGCGGCGACTTCGGCGCCGCAGCTCTGCCCCGAAGGATGGGCGTCGTCATCCTCGAGGCGCGGTTTCTTCGAGCCCCTGTCCTTCGTAGCTTTCCAACCGATCGCGCGCCTGATGGCCCCGCGCATGTGCGGCCCGGCGGGGGCGTGAGCATCCAGCGCCCACACCCTGTCGTGGTCGACCCCCTGGGCCTCGCTGGGCCCGAGAAGCCAGAAGCTGACTTTTTTGTCCTTCCCCACATCCGGGAAAGCCTCTTTCTGCGCCAGCCACACCTCCGTTTCTTCTTTGACGAACTGCGTCACTCTGTCGGCCCACTCCCTGAACGTGCGCATGTCAATTTTGGTGAGCCCCAGCTTCTTCAAGGCCCCGCAGAGCTTGAAATGCACAGGGCCATCGGGGTCCACATCCGCGCCTTTCTTTTTCATCTCTCGCAAGGTGCGCCGGTAGCTGCTCGCCAGGGGGCCCGTTGTGGGCACATCCTCCATCAAGCATTGACCGCCTCCGGGGTCGGCGGTCCTTATTCACCATGGCGGCAGGTGGCACAAGATCGAGCGATAATCTCAGGCTTCAAAAGTCTCTGGCTTGAGACGCAAAGCGCGGCAGCGTGTTACCCACCACGCCACGCATCCTGGCGTCGTGAAAACATCATGACGGGAGGCCTTTCGTCATTATCGGCCTCTGGGGGCCCTCAGAGGGCCCTGGGGCCGTCAAAAAAAAGACTCGGTACGAAAATCTGGCCCCGGGGGCAGCCTCCAGACCTCCAGGGGCCGACGTTTTGAACAAATCACGACGTCGGATGTCTGGGACAGTGTCGACCTTGCGCCGACGTTGCCCTGTTGCGTCGATCCTGCGTCGACCTTTGTTTTTGCGCAGGCCCGCCTGCAGGTGCGACGATCCTGCGTCGATCCTGCGTTCCAACTCAGGAGGCAGACCGAGGTCGGGCATCTAGATACTTGAGACTAGCGTTTCTGGTGGTTTAATTCCTTTCGACTGCTCCACCATGCAGCTTTGTAGCTTATCAGCAGCCCGAGTTACCTCATGAAGGCCACCAGAATCTCTTAAAACATGGCAGAGTACAAATAGCTGTTCGAACCCAGCTCTGGTAGCATACCGAGTTCGGGCATCTAGATACTCGAGACTAGCGCCCGATACTGTGACGATCCTAAGTCGATCCTGTGTCGACCCTGTGTCGATATTGCGTCGACACCCCGTTGTTGCGTCGATCCTGCGTCGTTCCTGCGCCGAGTCTGCGTCGATCCTGCGTCGATCCTGCGTCGATCATGCGTCGATCCTGCGTCGATCCTGTGTCGATCCTGTGTCGATCTTGCGTCGACACTCCGTTGTTGCGTCGATCCTGTGTCGATCCTGTGTCGATTCTGCGTCGATCCTGTGTCGATCCTGCGTCGATTCTGCGTCGATCCTGCGCCGATCCTGTGTCGATGCGTCGATTTTGAGTCGACGCTGTGTCGATGTTGAGTCGATTTGTCGACTTTGAGTCGAAATTGTGTCGATCCGTCGATGTTGCGTCGATTCTGCGTCGATCCTGCGTCGACCGATGGCCCCTAGGCCCTTCCCCCACGCCCCTGTTTTCCTCCGGGCGCCCACGCGCGCACGTTCAGAGAGACCCGCCTACAGGCCAAACCGCAGCCCTCGCTGCTAAGTCATCGCCAAGGGGGCCCATTTCCGGATCTTGCCGTCTGCCTCCTCGTTCCCCGTTCCGCCGCCAGGCACCTCCATCCTCCGCAGGTCGGCCTTCAGTTTCAAGCTCGTTGAAGAAGAAGATGGCTCTGGCAGGGCTGGACTCGGCAAACTTGTTAACCTGGGCCCTGTACAACATCCAAGCGCGAAGGACCAGCGCGGTCCTGTCCCTGGCAAGGGCGTCATCGCCGCGGTGTTCGAGCGTTGCCGCCTTCGATCTACGCACACGTTTCCCCATGAATTCCCCGCCGCGCCACCGCTTCAAAACGCTCATCTTAAGGTACTTCACCGGGTTCTCTGACAGCGCGAAGTAGCCGCTGTTGAACAGCGCCCAAGTCCCAGGGAGCGCCCTGTCTGAAGGAGAGCCGCCGTCGGCGCCCTCTTTGTCGTCACCGTCGTCGTCCGCACCCTGCTCGTCTAAGTCGTGCACGAGTTCCTCGGCCCCCTCCTCTGCCCCTCCCTCCATCTTGGGCAGCAGGCTCTCGCAATCCGACCCGTCGCCCACTGCTGCGTCGCCCACGTCGGCCGCGCCGGCGTCTGCCTGCGCGCGCGGGACAACCGCGGGGGCGCGGTGCTCCAGCAGGGGCGCCGCGCACTTGATGGCCATGCCATCCGGAGCGACCTTCGCGTCGATCCCGCGCGCGCACACCCGAACGGCAGCGTCGCCATGAGGCACGTTGCGCGTCTACGCCAAGCAGGCGGCGCCGAGGAAGCCAGCGACGTAGTCGGTGTGGGCAGGGAGGAAGTACTCATTGCACCCTGGGCGGGAACTCAGCAACGGCAGGTACCGGCGCTCTCCGCTTAGACAGCAGAAGAAGCACAACACCTTGTGTTCCGAGGCGCCGCGCTGCCATAGCAGCATCGCATACCCAGGTGGCAGGTGGGCGATTGTGCGTTCCCACAGCGGCGGCCCCTTCGCAATCTTCGGCCCCAGGCGGGCAACGGCCGCGAGGCCCTCCCTCGGCGTCACTCTGCGGCTAAACTGCTGCCTCTCCACGGGGGCTTCTCGAAGCCAGTGCCTTAAAATGCCGTCGTTCGTGTCTAGCCACTCGAGCCAGTCCCGCTGCGTCGCAGGAACGTGCGCCGCGTTGGCCAGCCCGGCCAAGCGGGCAGCCTCACCCTGTCGAGCTGCGACCTCCGCTTCCAGGTCGGCCGTGCGCGCCTCGACCTGTGACCGCAACGCATCCTTATCGCCCTCGTGCACAAGAGTCGAAGAAAGAACGCCATTCCGCAGCGGATCATCACCGCAGCGACAGCCCCTTGGCCGAGGGACTAAGCGCGGCCATCTCTGCCGAGCCAGTGACCAGATATTGCATCTCTTCAACGAAGACGCCTGTTTGGCCGCCCGCATCCTGCAGGCCAGGAAGCGCCCCCTCACGACATGGACCTGGTGGAGCAGCTGATTCCGCAATGCTACCGCCAGCGACCTAGCCTTCGCATGGTCTGGCGCCCTGCCCCGATGAAACTTTCGTTCTGCGTCAAGACTATTGGCCAACATGGAACCGAACACTTTGTCGATTTCCTCCTGCACTTCATCTGCCGTCAACCACATCGCTGCGTCGCTGAGGCTCCTGCAGCGCCAGGCCTCCCGCTTCAAGCCAGAGAGTAGCCTAAGTCTAAGTCATCGTCGGGCACCTGCAAGAATTCCTTGCACTGTCGGGAAAAGCCCATGGCATTGCGCCGCCGAGACATCATCCACAACTTCCCTGGAAAGCGCCCATACATGTAAAACCGCATGACAATGTGCGCTTGCGTCACAGGCAAAGCCGTCAAACATGCGGGAACAACGAGCTTCTCGTCCACGCGCAGCAAGGGCAACAATCGCCTCAGATGTTCCCCCGTGTGTTTTTGGATGTCTCCTTGCGCGATCCTCACGAAGTGCGGTCTTGGGTCGTCCACCTTCGGCTTGCTCTGGCTTGCCATGCTGACAGCGCGGTGGCTCAATTGTATACGCAGCGACGCTTTCCGCAGGTCCGAGGAGGTCTGCGGATGGCAGGAAACAGCCCGCATTGCCTTGATGCGGTTCGCGCCCTGGGCCCGAAGGCGCCCCTTCTGCCCTGGAAACAAGTCTTTGCCAAGCCCCAACATATCCATCAAAAGGAAGGCCCACGCTGCAGGCGCAAATAAGAAAAAACGCGTCGTCATAGGCTTCGATTGAATCTTGAGCACCAGGGGAAGCAATATCTGAAAAAGATCACCACACACGCTTTCCTTATCCGCCTCCTCCGAGGAGCAATGTTCCATAGCCAGGACGCTTCGATTCAAAATCGTCAGCGGCGATGGTGGGATGACGCCGTGGCCGTAGAGCTCTTGCAATTGAAGCGAACGCCGGCGCATCTCCTGCGACGCGGCATCCGCCCCGTCCCCTGCCACGCGCATTCGGCTCAATATGGGCGCCCGGAGGGTCGCGGGCATTTTTTCCGCGCGCTCCGGAATCGCACACTTAAACGCCCTGGAAGCGGCAGCGCAAAGTGCGTCTGAGTTCAGCGGGCCCTGTAAACATCGGCCACATATGGCGCACTGCACAACCAAGTTTGCCTGGTGAGCTGCGCGTTTGACCACGACCAAAGAATATATGATTCCCAGCTGGCGCTCCGCAGCACGGAGAAAAGCAAACAGCCGTTTGCAAGCCGCCCCGTTCGTGGCAACGGCATCGCCAATGACGATGTGGACGACGCGGACGGTGGCGCGCGGGCACCCACCCATGATGGCACGGGCAATGCTCTCGAACACCTGGATTAGACATTCTGCAATCGTGGGCGCGTCCTTGACGGACATGCCCATCAGCTCGGTGAGCACTGGCGCCCGCGTCTGTCCAAAATCAACGCAGACCGCCTGATTTTGCACCTTGGAGCATCGCCCGACAGTTCTGTTCTGTAGCTCAGGCCGAAAAACCCAATCGACATCAAAAGATTTCACTTTCATGGCTGCCTCATCGTGCACGTGCACCACGACGAAACAGGACGTCTCCTGCCCATCAAGGTTCAGGGTGCGACTTGCGTCCTTGGACTGCGCAGCAATGACATCGTGGTTGATTTTTGTTCAGCACCTGGGCAAACGCATCCCTTGTTATCGCAATCGGGGTTGCTGACACGTTCTGGACTTCTGCGATTGGGAAATCACGGGAGAATTTCTCAAATGTCTGGCATGGCACGCTCGGGGGACACGCGGCTATTTTCACCCTCCAAAGATTCGATCCCCTCCAAGCGTGCTTGGCCCTGACAAGACATTTCAATTCACTTCTGCGGCGCCTCGCTTGGGTTTTCCAATGATTGGTTTTCTTCCTCATGCTCGCCCAGGCCTCGGAATCTCGAGCCCGCTTCTTCGACCTCCCGTCTGGCACCTCGAACTCGGCCGACAACGCTTCGATCAACGCCTTGGCCGCGGACTTGGACCGGGCCGCGCCATTGAGGTCAGCAGCGGCATTTTGGAACTTGAGTAGGCCTGCGCGCAATGCGAGAGCAACCCTCGAAAGTTTGTCCATTTGCTACGAACGCAATTCGAGGGATCTCTCTCTCTCTCTCTCTCTCTATATATATATATAACTGCCCTACCCTGGATTACAAGCCCGCGGCCTGTAAACCTCCTGGGGGCCCCAAGGCCTAGAGCCGCCAGGACGCGGCGCATCGCGCAGGGTTTACCCTGTCAGCCCACAGGAGTTTCAGAGCACAGCGCCTCGTAAACCAGGGTAGGGGCGTTTTTTTTTTTTTTGCTTCTCTCTGCCCTTGAGCAATGGCCCGCAAGGCAATTGAGGCCACCCTGAGCCACCTTGGCTACGGACGAACGAGACCAAGGCCAATATGATTGGACGAAGCAAAATTATAGGAAAATGCACGGTCAGCGCTGGCACTGGTGGTGAGTGAGCACTCTCGGAAATTAGGGCACGTCGCGGTAACTGGTGCGACGCGTTGCAATGTGGTTTGCGCAAATGTTGGCGTTGGTACTGGCGGTGGTGGTCACGCGAATGGCAGTGGCAGAAGCTGGGTGCCATGCTTGTTGGCGTTTGGCCATTTGGCATTGTGAATGTTCGCATTTGCGAACATGAAGGCCGCGGTAGGCGCGTGCAGCTGCGGTTATCCAGGAGCCGTCGAACAGCATAGTCGAACCGAATGGCGATGCTGAATTTGGAAGAGGGAGTGGGGGAGAGGCTAAGCGGGAGAGGTCTCCTCATCCTCATATTTCCTGAAGCGCAATTACTTTCGCTTGACTGCGCCAGCCTTCGCACCACTCCATCCTTGCACCACGCAACCTTGCGCCGCACAGCCTTGCGCCACGCAGCGACAATCCCGCGCCACGGCCGGCCAGTGAACCTTCTATCTTTCGGCGCAGTCTGAAGCGCCTTTGGCGCTCCGTCAGCCCCCCCAACCCCTCCATATCATTCAACTCCTCCAACGTCGAGGGGGGAGGTTGGAGGAGCGAGCGGGAGACGTTAGGGTAGTAGTGTAGCGGTAGTGGTAAGGGTAATGGTAAGTGCTAACAAGGTCATGCGGATTGCACTGTGTAGTGGTAGTGGTAGTGGTTGTTGCACTGGGTAGTGGTAGTGGTGAGCGGTTGTTGCACTGTGTAGTGGTAGTGATAAATGTAATAATATTGGCAGCGGCGCCTATAGTGGAAACGGCGATGGCAAAAGGCACTGGCACTTTCAGTGGACGCACGGACTGCGATGATGATGGCATTGGCAACGAAGGTGTAACGAATGGTGCAGGTTCCTTTGTCGCCGCACTAACAGTGGCATTCAAAAGGCGGGTTTAATTGCGGCGGGCACGGTGCCGACAGAAGTGGAATTCACGGTGCCGTGACACGGTTGGAATGTTCGCGGTACTATTTACGGTATTGCTTGGTGGACGTGGCAGTGGGAGTGGTGGTGGTCGTGACACTGGCAATGGTTTTGGCGGGGGCACGTGCGAAAGAAACTTTACCTGTAGCTCACAATACCGAACTGGCATAACGTAAAACGCTCGGCTTGGCATTAATCCGTTAATCGCCATGACACCAATGCTCGCCCTTCGATGGGCATTCCGAAGAGCTGGCGCATACGAAATGCAACTACGATGGCGCAGGCAAATCCGCCGCCGCGCTTGCAGCGATTGGCGTGCGGTTTTTGCCATTTCGTCCGTGGTTTCTTGCGACGCCGAATATATAGCCCCCAGACGCATCGAGACCAATATGCGTCTACTTGCTGGACGAAGTCCGTGCGCAGTTGGCCTTGCAAACCACACGCGCCCCCCAAATCAGAAACCTGGAAGACACGCTCAATAACAGCTCGTATGATATTGATCGGACCTGTGCCTTGGAGGTGTTGGCAAATACATGGCGAAAATCGCTGCGCCGGGAAGGAACATTCCAGTCGCTTCGCAGGGCGACGCTTCATGGGGGGGGCACGCTTTACTTCCATGCGGTTCCGCCGCAATTCCACCGGTTTCCGCCTGCGCGTCCTCCATCGACTTACTCCCACTGGCTTCCACTGCCCTTCAACCGCCATCCGCCGATCAGGGGAAGCCGACGTCTCGATTCCTCGATGGCGAGGCCGTTTCTCGCAGGCTGGGGCAGAGGCGGGCGGCGCATCTGTCCGAACCACCTACGCCACCGCATGCCCGCAAACTGCCTGTTCCCTCCCCCCCTCCCCTCTCCTCATATTCCTCCTCCTCCTCGTCCTCCTCCTCGTCCTCCTCCTCGTCCTCCCCCTCGTCATCCTCCTCCTCCTCCTCCTCCTCCTCCTCCTCCTCCTCCTCCTCCTCCTCCTCCTCCTGACCCCTACGACCCTAGTCCTCCTCCGCCGTCATCATCTGGTCATCATCCAGCAGTTTGATTCCGCCTCCCACTCCACCTGTTATAGAATCACTCCGCCTCATCCCTCCTCCTCCATCCTCCTACTATAATCCTCATACTCCTCTCCTCCTCCTCATCCTCCTCCTCCGCCCCTCATATCTCCTCCCCTCCTCCTCCCCTCTCCCATCTCCCTCCTCCTCCGCCTCCTCTCTCCTCCTCCTCCTCCTCCTCTCCTCCTCCTCCTCCTCCTCCTCCTTCCTCTCCTCCTCCTCTCCTCCTCCTCTCTCCTCCTCCTGCCTCCTCCTCCTCTCCTCCTCCTCCTCCTCCTCCTCCTCCTCCCTCCTCCTCCTCCTCCTCCTCCTCCTCCGCCTCCTCCTTATCCTCTCCTCTCTCCTCCTC